TAGTATATACTAAAACAATTATTCACCTCAGTGTCGGTGGCTAGTCGTGGATATTTACCTCACTGCTTCGCAGTTCGGTAAATATCCAGGACTAGCCACCTCCACTTCGGTGAATAATTGTTATTTATACTTTCAATTCGGTTTTTAAGTTCGGTTTTGACTTTTTTGTGATATCTCACGTTTAGTTGGTCTCTTTTTGCAACTACAGTGTAGTCCTGGTGTCCGTATTAACCGGGCTCTCACAAGCAACATGTTTTATTGATATAAAGGCGATGTTACAGAGAAAGATTCTTCTCAAAGATTTTTCACGCAACGTCTTTTGAGCCCTTTTTCGCTTCCTTTGTCCAGCTAAAAATTGTTCCATGCAAGGGTTTTTGTTTGCACTTTTGCTGCGCAAAAAAGGTTTCGTTGTGAATCGTCTTGTGTAACATCTCCTTACACACTTTTAACACCAACTTGCAACTCTCGCAGGCGCAAAAAAAAAAAAATGGCCGTTGCGAAATCGTCCCGTGATGTTTCAAGGGACGATTCGCAACGAGGGCTTTTACTTCAACATAGGTATCAATTATTTTAACAATATATTAATGATAAGAAAGATAACGTGACATTAAAATTGTTTATACACCGAATGCAAATATGGTGGATCTCTCGGCCGGCCCGGGTCTAGTTGCGCGAAAGCGAGGCTAGTGAGGCCTCGATAGTTTTGTTTTGACTGATTCAGTCGATGAATATGGTTCCCTTCGAGTTGTTACGAGCTTAAGAGCCATCAAATAGGAGATTTAACTCCAGCAGAGACGAAAGTTGATTATCTTCGCTGTGCCAAAGTTCTTTACGAACAAAGAAATGGATTCAAGCGATTCGGCGCGGCGAATGGAGGCACTCTACTATCACCACAGGTAACCCAGGCTCTGTGATAGTACCACAGTACGGTTCCAGTAAAATTACAGTGTTTGTATGGGGTAAAAATATCATCCTAAAAATTTCTAGGAAATACTAAATAAAGATCAATAAAACTTACTCTGCAGTTAATTGTTGTTGTCCTTATTGCTCCAACGAAGTTTCGTGATAATTTGCAGTAATTTGTTTAAATTCACTCTATCTACAATAGTAATATACAAGGTAGGAAACACGAGGTGCCATTTTCGCCGACATGCTCTCATTCAACACAACTTTTTCCACGAAATTCGAACTCCAACGGAAAATAAACATGCCAGGATCGTAGAAATAGGATAGCAGCAGATATAGAAACCAATGAAGCTTTCCCAGATAGCGAAACAAATCCCACAGACTTTGACAAACTCGAAGAATATAATCCAAACAGACCGAGAATATGCTCGCCGAAGCAGCCGGGCCAGATCAACACGCGGCCAAGAAAATGAGGCCTGGGCACTGTACAAAAAAAAATCATCCCGGGAGTCCTGAGGTGACCTTTCTGGGCACCGATAGTCCGATACATAATTTGCCCAAAGCCGCCCTACCCTGCTGAAAAAATACTTAATAGAAGGCAATTGTTCTTCCTAGCCGTACCACCCTGGCCTGTTATAAAGAGATTATGTCCCTCTCGAACTATATTCAGCGCCTGGCGCTGGTCCTCAGAAAGTTTATCAAACATCAATAGGGCAAGGTTCAGGGCAAAGGAAAGAACAACGAAGGAGGATTTACAAAACTTAAAACGAGCAAAAGATATAGGTGAATTTTGGCTCTTACCGAGGCATTTGCACAACAGGACCAAATTCAAAGAGAGGTGTATCACGATGATTCACATATTTAACCGATAGAGCGTTCACTTGTATTGACAAGAAGTCGGCGTGGTACTGCCGCATTAATCGCTAAATATGTTAATCGCGTTAGTTCTTTGTTTACTGGTGCACGTGCCTTTCACATTCGTCTCAGTTATCGCAATTCATATTCTTTCGCAATTTTCTGTATAATTTTTGACATTAGTTTGTAAGCTTCACCGTTTATTTACGATAGTTTCGGTCGAGAGTTCACAGCAACAGTATCTCAGTCATCATGTACCTTTTGTTCAACATTGTTTTTAACCCGCCTTGTAAGTATTTCGCGTTGTTATTTCATTAGTTTCATTACTGTTATTTGCATTCCTTAGTAAAAGAAATGGGGCGCCTTGTAACTCCGCAGACTCTCCTGATTATATTAATTTTTTTAGCCATTTAAATTTAGGCGCGTGTGCGGGGTTTGCTCTGGCAAATAGTGATTGGCTAGGAAGAACAATCGCCTTCTATCAAGTATTTTTCCAGCAGGGGAGGGTGGCTTTGGGCAAATGATGTATCGGTCCGGCTAGAAAGGTCACCCCAGGACCCCCAGGATGGAATTTTTTGGACAGTGTCCAGGCCTCACTTTCTTGGCCGCGTCTTGATCTGGCCCGGCTGCTTCGGCGAGCATATTCTCGGTCTGTTTGGATTATATTCTTCGAGTTTGTCAAAGTCTGTGGGATTCGTTTCTCTATCTGGGAAAGCTTCATTGGTTTCTATATCTGCTGCTATCCTATTTCTACGATCCTGGCATGTTTATTTTCCGTTGGAGTTCGAATTTCGTGGAAAAAGTTGTGTTGAATGAGAGCATGTCGGCGAAAATGGTACCTCGTGTTTCCTACCTTGTATATTACTATTGTAGATAGAGTGAATTTAAACAAATTACTGCAAATTATCACGAAACTTCGTTGGAGCAATAAGGACAACAACAATTAACTGCAGAGTAAGTTTTATTGATCTTTATTTAGTATTTCCTAGAAATTTTAGGATGATATTTTTACCCCATACAAACACTGTAATTTTACTGGAATCGTACTGTGGTGCTATCACAGAGCCTGGGTTACCTGTGCTATCACGGAGTTATTTTTTAAAAGAACGAAAGTGTGCTCGCTTCACTTCAGAAGAGAAGACTCACGAAACTATTAGAATGGGTGAATAACTGACAGATTCATGGTTCTGTTTCAAGTTTGCTTTCTCCGTTCTCTTACCAAGGAAAGGTAAATATCCTCGAGGACGAGTGAATCCGCCGTCGCGACTTACCAATCTTTAGGCGCTCTCAGGGACACAACGACAAACAACAAGGGCGAATGTTTTTTCGCAGTCTTCACGATCCTGTGTTTAAGAGTTTGAGCAGTGCCATAAAAGAAGCAATTTTTGGAAAATCGCTAGCTGTTTGTTTATCTGGAAACTATTCGACAAGTTGCTAAAATAGATCACACGCAAGGTCAAATACTATGCTCGAATACTTGCACGCTCTTTTTCTTCCAGAACCTTTTTTCTTCTTCTTACTTTCTTAGTTGGCAACGGTTCCTCCGTTAGTTTTTCAGTGTATTTTGGTCAAGGACTGTTCTTGAAATATGTCGCTTCCTTCTGGTTCTTACATAGTTTCACAGGGCACGCTTGTAGGATTAACAGGCGATTTTTATTGTTGTTGTTACAGTATATTTTAATGCAGCTGTTTTCAGCGGGAAATCTAAAAGATCTTACGGTCCACCGCGGATGCTCCCGTTCTCGAGAATGTTTACCTTTTGTTGGATAAATAACAGACCATGCAAACATCTTGGAACAGCACCATCTCTTGTGAAAATTATTTCATTCAAATACATTCGTGAGTCTTCTAATCTAAAGCAAGTGAACGAGCACAGTTTCGCCGTAAAGTGCTTTCCATCGCCGCGCCGAATCGCATGAATCCTTAAGTTTCTTTGTGAACAGATCTCGGGAAAGTAAAGGCTATTCCAGCTAGAGTAAAATCTTCTTTTTGGTGGCCCTCGCCCTCGGGCATGCAACAACTCGATGCAAACCATATCGATCGACTCAATCGCTAAGACGCGCAGTCAAAACAAAACTCTCGAGGCCTAACTAGCCTCGCTTTCGCGCAACTAGACCCGGGCCGGCCGAGAGGTCCGCCATATTTGCATTCGGTGTATGATTTATCAAAATTCTTTTCTCGTCAGCGTTTTACTGATAACAGAAGAAAACAACAGTAAAATAACTTAGCCTCAACTTTGCCAAATAACTTGCCAGACTCACAGGTGATATAAAACAAAACCAAAAAAAAAAAATTACAGTGTAAGAGAGACAACAAACGCTACATGCTAAACACCGTGGTAGACCCAAAACTGATAATCAAAATACATTGTACAATCATTAATACGTACGAGCTGTGATTGAAACAAATAATTAACAATTCTGTTGCTTGAAGGCAACTGGGCGAATAATTATTGAACCTGAAGGGTAGGTCACGTGTGAGTTCGTTACTTGAGTATGGCAACACGTGATCTGAGAATAGAGCAATCAGATGATGACAACAGGCTTGCAATTAAACATAACAAGATAATAAATAAAATCGTTCCTTTCAAGTTTTAGAAAATAAAAGGCATCTTTTTGTGACACTGAATAATGTAATTCCCTTGAAGCTTACAAGGTGTCAAGTGTGTCCTGGATCAGGATATACCGACCACTCCCTCCCTCCCTCCCACGAATCCAACGTTAACACTAACTTCTCACTTAGAGCAAGTTGTTGGCAGGGGGGGGGGGTACCAGGGGAGGGATGGGTGACACTTTCCAAGAATCTTATACTAACCCACTGTCCTTTCTGACATGGGGATCGCCTTTATCAAGCTTCCGTGTTCTCTCTTTCGACTTTTATGCATAGTGGAAGAGCTTAGACCGAGATCCAACAACCACGGAGTATGTGTGTAACCAGAGTCTATATTCCACTAGATATTACTTTCTTACTTTAATAACAATGAAGCAAAGATATATGTTTCAAGGAGTTTTGCACTTGAGACACAACTACTAACTTGGTTCAGTCTGTTGCGAGGTGCACTGCTCGCATTTTTCCGTAATAATTTCTAATTTCACTTAATTTCGCGAAATACATGTCGGAAATTCTTCGGTTTTGGTAACAAATGGATTATTACTTGTAACACTGTCCATTTCAATATATATATTTTTTCATATATATTACTGGTATCTCCAAACTGATTCTGGTAAGTCTTGTAGAGCTCGTGTTTGTTTTCCTTTCCATCGAAGCCACAAAACACCAAGCACCACACAGACGATGGACTCGACATAGTAGCCATCGACAAAAATTTGGCACACACCACCAGCATTCGTACAGTCCTGAAAAGTAAACTTAGACCATGAGAATTCAGTCATCGTGACTTCCTCTTCTATTAGCCTTTCCCATTTATGATTTTGTTGGTTTGTTCGTTGTTTGCTCTTTTGTTTGTTTGTTTGTTTGTTTGTTTTTGTTTTTTCTCCTCAGAGTAAGAGGGAAAGAAGCAGGCACCTACAACTAAAGTATCTGTAAAGGGAGATCTGCCGCGACATTAGCGAGTTACCATTTCACTGAAAGAGGCATTATCCTTGGCATTCTTGTCATACGTTCGCTGAAATTATGAACAAGTACCAAGAGAAGAGTTTTCATAAAAAATAAGAAGAAAAAATGCAAAAAATACTGTTTTTAGAAAGTATTTGGCAGACACACAGTGCTCAATAGAAGATGAAAGTCTGCTAAGTGAGCTTAACTTTTTCAAGATCCAGTCCTGTTAATTCTTGTTGTTGTTGTCGTTGTTTTAAACTATTTTGCGTCTTTGTTAATAGAAAATTCAACAGTAACTATTTTTCTAAAGATTCATTCTACATGTACTTACATGTATCAAATACCTCTTAACAAAAAAGGGGAATTTTAGCAACGTTGCCATTAACACAAATTACGTCATTGATTTTTGTGCAGATCTCGTGATACTGTGCTTTGTCTGACTAAGAAATGTTTCGACACTGTCAAAAAAGAAATTAGTTAGTCACCTTGGCATGTATTTTTCCGCTACAATGTAGCCCTGGTATAGATGCACCAACACAGCTTGACCAGGTGAGTCCATCCACAAGCCACAGAGCAAGCGTCTGACACCAATTACCACCCAGATTTGTTACTGTGTTCAAAAGGGTCAAGTACGTCCCGCCAACCCGCGGGTCACTGATACGGGCGTGAAACGCCATGATGGCCACGAACATACAGTACAATGTAACCTGTTGACGGCAAAGAGTGAAGGAAATAAAAATAAAACATATCTGTAGTGCCGGGAAGTTTATACGTAATGTATACTTCGTACAATCGAAGTGCATTATCTGAAGCAAAATGTTGCATACAGCATTCTCTGTTCATCTCTGAAGCTAGAAGCACCACATGCAGCAAAATAAAAAACATTTACTAATCACCTCTAAGACGCTTTTGAAAACTGAAAAACATTATTCCGTAATTATTAAACAATTTCCAAAAATTATCTGTTTGCCTATAATTATTTTTTTACTCACTATTTTNCCGCTACAATGTAGCCCTGGTATAGATGCACCAACACAGCTTGACCAGGTGAGTCCATCCACAAGCCACAGAGCAAGCGTCTGACACCAATTACCACCCAGATTTGTTACTGTGTTCAAAAGGGTCAAGTAAGTCCCGCCAACCCGCGGGTCACTGATACGGGCGTGAAACGCCATGATGGCCACGAACATACAGTACAATGTAACCTGTTGACGGCAAAGAGTAAAGGAAATAAAAATAAAACATATCTGTAGTGCCGGGAAGTTTATACGTAATGTATACTTCGTACAATCGAAGTGCATTATCTGAAGCAAAATGTTGCATACAGCATTCTCTGTCCATCTCTGAAGCTAGAAGCACCACATGCAGCAAAATAAAAAACATTTACTAATCACCTCTAAGACGCTTTTGAAAACTGAAAAACATTATTCCGTAATTATTAAACAATTTCCAAAAATTATCTGTTTGCCTATAATTATTTTTTTACTCACTATTTTGTTCATGTACTATATTTTGGAACTTTTCCAACATCATTGGACATACCTATGAAGGCTAGCTAGGTTACATTATCCCCTCAAAATTGACATTTCCCGAGTTTCCAAAATGTACCTCGGTTTCAGACACACTGCCGGTACAGTAGTGTACACAATTAACAATTATTCCTCAAGCCCAAATGGGCTCTGAGTCAATAGCCCATGAAGGCCAAAGGCCAAATGGGCTATTGACTCAGAACTTGAAATACTTGTAATACTTGAACTTGAAATGACTTCTGGGCAAGTACATGCTAGCTACAGCTTGCCCGAATGGCAGGCTGTAAAACTGACTTTCTTTGCACCCTAGTAGTGTACTCTCTTCTGGATTTCTTGTGTTCTTTTTGGGAGAAGTTTAACTCCCAGCAGGGTTTGTCAGAAAATTTGAATTAAACAAAGAGGGATTGAAAGGAGCGTCTTCCAAGGGACAGAACTGTGTGCAGGGGTACAGTTTAGGTATGGGAAGGGGGTACCCACCCTTTACTGAAGGAGTCCATTTTGAATTTTTCATTTAACGGGTCCTGAAAAGTGCATTTCAGTGCATTTTGAGTGGCCAGGGAAAGAAATTTAGCCATGAAGATGACACAAAAGTGCTAGGAACCAAAAATAAGATGAAATATGATGGATTGATTGTTTCACTTGAAAACTTTTCTGTGAGTAGCCTGCACCTTTATGTCAACTAGATGGTGATTTTTGCCGGTTTTTACAGCTTCTGGATAAACCTACAGCTGTAGAATGTACTATCAGAGATATAAGCAAACATCTCACTGTTACATGTAACTACTGAACCACTTTCGCCTCCAGATTTTTGGCCTGTATTCTTTGCACTCGGCCATAAATCTATCAGGAGAAACTTGGTCTGTGACTTACAGTACCAAACTTAAACTTGTATACCAAGAGGTTTATAATTATCATTTTTACCTGGTGAACTGCATAAACCAATAATATCGTGACATAAAAATAAATAGGGAAGAATTCCTGGCTGGGACCACGGACAATGCTGGCCCACCAAACACACACCATGAAGATAACACCCATGAACAATCTGTAGGGCATGGCCTTGAGGAACACATCTAAGGGCCGTGGACCTATAGTAGGAATAGACAACATTTTGTAAATGAAAGTGCTGAGGAGGTGGAACTTTTACATGACAGGTTCACGCTGTAGCTCCTAAATTACAAATGAACATTAAAGAGGGGCACTATCTGCTACACAGAGGTTTGTAAAAGTAGAGACCTTAAGATACACCATTTATGTGACTGTACATACAGCTAGACCACCTTGCTTTTATGCAGCTACAATGTTGTATCAATTTTTAGATGGAGAGGTGGGATACGGGAATAGGTGCAGGTATTTGAACACTTTCCTTGTCCCCTCTCTGGGGATTTTGACCACAAATTTTGCCCTTCGCAGCAGACATTTGAATTTCACCTTACATAGAACTGGTTCAATTTGAATTGAACCATACAGAGAAAAACGGCTGGAAAATCAGCTAGAAAGCACCACTGACAATAAAACTTCATGTTGCTCTGTAGCTTCACTTACAGCTGGGCATACAGTAGGTTGGGATTTTAAAAGTTGGAGGGGGGGGGGTATTTGGATCAATTTAAGTTTCTGGGAAACTCCCCTCCTACCCCTTCCCTAGGCTAACATTAACACTAAGTCTTACTTCTCAATTAAGGCAAAATTATGGCTTAGGGGAGGGGTAGGTGGGCAGTTTCCCGAAACCTAAATTGATCCAGTTCTTTTAACGGTTCTATTTTCTTTTTGTCTCCTACAAAAGTAGCTGGTGGTCATGTTAAAAATTCCCTGGTCCCTGGCCTCATGATCTTAATGACAGCCCTGAGAAAGGATGATGCTACGCATTTTATTATCCCATCTGGAAAAACATTGGCACTTTTTGTTCCCCTATTTGTACATGTAAATGAAGACAGAGACAACGTATGTTGTAGTTTCTTATAAAGATAATGTACAGTGTACATAAATTTATTTTTGTTCTCAAAACAGGCCATCTGATATTACGCAATGGTGCGATTTCACACGATTGACCTCAAATCATATCAGATCGCACAATTTGAGGAAAATCGCATAATTTGTGAAAAAAAATGCCACATTCAAGTAAAGTAAACAACGAATTCTAACTTAAATTAAACATTTTCCCAATCTTAATGTTATTTAAGGTGTATTTACCACAATTTTCCCTGCACAAAAAAAACCTTTTTTTATCACACAATCTACGTAGAAAATGCCACATTACATGTATTTCTGATTTTTTTAACGCATCCTATCAGAAGGCCTCTTGTACATGTATAAGGATTTTAGCATAAATCCTTCACTGTATTCTACAGTTGCAACACACATGCATTGCACAGGGCTTCTGATAATTCGCGGAAAAAAAAAGTCAAATTTCGCGAGATTTTTGGGGACAAAATCGCAGAAAAATTGGTTGATTTCGCGGGAATTTCGCGGGAATTTTCACGGCAAACTTGGCCGGAAAGCAATCGGTAAACAAACGGCGGATTTTGTGGTTATTTTCAGGGCAAATTTCGCAAGAAATCGATCGGTTTTGCACTGATCAGACCAGCGTTTTTAATGTTTTTCTAACAGAGGACATCATTAGCTCTTTCAATAACAATACGCTCTAGAAATGAACCAATGGCAAAGCCTTTAACATCATGGCTAGTGCCCAGTTTTTCGCAACATAATCTACGCCTGGTAGTTTCGGAACGTTGTTTGCACGTTTCAGTGACGAAGTTTTGACATAAATTTGCGAGCTTACGGCAAGTACATACCCCCAGTAGCTGAGACAAGTTTCAAAATTGCTGTACAGACATGTATTTGATAAGATTTCTACCGAATTTCGCGGTATTTTGCATGTGTTTGTGAATTTCGCAGGATTTTGCGGATTTACCTGAATTTCGCGGCTCCGCGACCGCGCGAAACATCAGAAGCCCTGATTGCAATGTCTCCCTGAGTCATGTCATATTATTCATAAAATGCAAAAAATGCCCACCTGCAGTATATCTGCTTATATAAACTGGTAACAAAATCTGGATTGGAACCATGGGGATGGCAAGTAGAGCAAGATTCTCTTTAGGAACTCCTGCTTCAATCAGCTTTAATCCAGTTACTGAGTCAGCGGCAGCAAAACCAATCTAAGTAGAGAAGATAAAAGAATGTTGAATACTAACACTGTGAGGATATGCCAAACAGTTTCATGAGCACAAAGTGTTAATGTCTTGGTAATTTTCCTGTTCATCATAAGATAATGTACATGTGTATATTCTCTGCCCTTAATAAAACATGTTGTGGTTTCTTCAGATGGTGTTTGAATGTCATCATGATTTTCCAGAATAAAAATCAACAAAATTAGCATGAGAAATTACTCCTGTAGACATGTGAAGGAAGCATGTCCAGTCAGCAATGGTTAGTATCACTGCCCAAAAGAGAGACAGATGACCACAGGCAGCATGATCTGAACAGTTTTTGATGACCCTGATTGGTGGTCTGGCTTAGGTTTGAAACAAAACCTTCAGCTACAAAAACCAAGCACTCAGTTACAATGATATGACTCGCCTTGACCATTGGCAATTGGGCTACGATGTAAATGACCTTCCAAGGTTTCTCGTCCAGCAAGAAAATCTAATTGTCCCGCAGGACAACCAAAAGGGACTTTTTTCAAGCCCTGATCTTCTTTTCTTACCATACATTCAAGCATCTTAGAAGTATTTTTTTTATGGCAAACTGGCCATGCATCTTATACAGAATTGCCCTTTCTATAGAAATCAATTCATTTTCTACTGTACTCATAAAACTTTTAATGTCTATATATAACTACTGTACCTTGAAAGTGAGAAGTATGACCATGAACTTCAAAATACTTGGGCACCGCAAGATTTTGACCAAAGTTTTGTAGCCATCAACAATCCCTTCCACCGATTCCTCACCATGAAGTTCTTGTTCAGACTTTTCACGTTTAAAAAATCCAACTAATGTAGTGGTAACAAGAAAAACAATTCCCCAAAAATAGAAAAATCCTGAGTAGGTGACAACACCCGTAGACTGGGCCTCAGTTCTTAGATACTTGTTACTGAAATCAGCGGAACTAAGAGCCAGAAACACAACATTTCCCATGAAAAATCCTGCTGTCTGGCCTACAGTGTTGCATGTTGATGCATAACCAACATTTTCTCTAGACAGCATTGTGAGTGCCCAGCCATCAACAGCAATGTCTTGTGTCGCAGCAAGGAAGTTGAGACAGAAGAAGATAGCAGTTAAAAGTGTGATGCTTGGAGCTGTGTCTGTGTTTTCTCCCATCAGTTCTTCAATGTGCTGAAAGAGCAAAACAAGTGTAAAAACTGCTGTATTTCATTTAAAAAAAGCACCTGAGAACTTATGAAAATTATATTCAATTAAGGAAAGCTTATTAAGTTTGAAGGGAGCAGTCTAGTCAAAAAGGATGCTATTTAAAAAATAATAGCAAAAACAGTTAACAAAAAAGGTAGCAACACAAAGAGAAGCCCATAACCAGGAGTGAGCAATTTTAATAGATTATACTTGTGTCAGTGCAATGTTCTCACTGACCAGTTTGTGTTTAGAACAATTACACTGTATTTTGGTGAAAAAAAAAATTAAATTATAGTAAGTCCTACAAACCAGTCAGCAAACCGTTAGACCTGGAAACCGTATTTTTGACCTATTAATGATGTTTAGATTTCCATTTTCATATTATACTTTGTATGCCCTCATAGACAGAGCAGAGCTTCCATTTCAATGATAAGAAAAAGTACTCTAAAATCTATCTAAAATAAACCGGTCCATGGGTTGCTCACTCTGGGTTAAAGGCGCCTGACACAAATGAACTCTATTAAAGTGCATAAAGAAAGAAATAACAGTAACTAGAACTGACTTTATAGTTAACTTTCTGTTCTTGTGCATTGGTTGCTCGCCTGTAAGTAATTTTTCTCTCTAAAAGAAAACATTATATCCAGCTACTATATGTCAGCATTTCACCTAGACAAAAGTTTCCGCACATGTATCATGTTGACATTTAAATAAGTATATTACTGTTTAGTAATAACATGAATTTTTAATTACAGAAACATGTAGCCTTTAGACTTAGTACTATATGTGCTAATTTATGCTGGGGAAAATTGGATCGATTACATGTGGAAGGACATAATTTGTCAGACGACAGACATTGTCTGATGTTCAACTGCTACATGTATAGTATTTGCAGCTCTGTATTGATGCTGGTATAGTCAAACTAAGAAAGGCATTCTTGTGATATCCTCTACTATTTGAGGGTGCCTAGCATATTATCATTGTTAAGAATACCAATTAAAAAAATATTAGATTTCACAGTTACCACAAAGCAACGTATTTAGGAATATAGTGGGTTTGTTGAAGTAAGAAATAGTAGGCTTTTACCAAAAATTCCAATTAATTTGATTAACATACATGTAAAGAACCACACAAAGGCAAGTTTAAGAGTGAACTAGACATTGAACTTCCCACATGCCAAAGCTAATGGTAATGAGCACAATGTAAAGTTCTTGTTCAATAGAATAGCATTGGATCAGGCAGTCATGCACATTGTAGTCGACTTTTAATACTCCTCGTTCAACAGCAACTGCTGAGCTATGTAAAAAATATAATGCTTACATAAAAAAAAATACCCTTACCACCAACCCCGTCACCAATGTAAACCCCCCAAAGAGAGGCGATTTTAATACTCTCACCTTGGAAAGAATGAGCATAAAGATTCCAATCACGTACTGTACTGGCACGAGCCAGGTCTTCCTTCGTCCAAATCTCGACAAATAAGCTGTGTCTACGATAGGAGCCCACAAGAGCTTCATACTAAAAGGCCAAAACACCAGACTAAACTTAGCTTGGTCCTTGTATTCAATCTTCCTTGTTTGTAGCAACATAGGCATAGCGCCGGCAAGTCCCAAAGGAATGCCTTGTAAAACGTAAAGAAATAAAAGAAGAGCTATACTTCCACTATCTTTTCTCATATTTGGTTTTGCCTCATTTTTGACTTTACTTTCCTCCATCATCTTGGCTTTGTCGGGACCGTTCATCGTAGCTTTTTTCGTCGTCAACTGAACAACATCTTCTTCTTGATCATAACTGAGAATCTCATGTCTCTTCGATGCCTCTGCGGCTCGTGACCTTGTGATCATACCTGACATCCTTGTTAGTTTCTTGATTATTTTTGCATGGTTAGTACTTAACCGACTGCTTTTTAAACGCTATAAAATTGTACCGGCGAAGGACAGAAACGTGGCGACAGATTACAGGTAGTGTACATTTACATGGTAGATTAAATGAAGAGGTAATTGAAATTGCAAATTTCCTCTGGATTTTAGAACTGCGGACACAGATCCTTCCCAGATCTGGTTTCCAGTCTTCCCGCTTTACTTTTGTCCCAGTTTTTTTTTCTCGTTTTTTGTTTATTTGTTTTCTTTTTTTCTTTTTTTACATATATTCACAATGGTTTTTCCATCTGGATTTCCCCGAGGTTCTTTGTTTTTTTTCTTTCTCCAATTGCCCAACCACTCTCCCATAGTTTCCGCGTTTTCACGAGTCCCCCGAAGGTATTTTTCATCTCAATTAGCCAGTACTTCAAAGTGTACGACAAGCTAAGCTTCTTCTACTTTGGGCTGTATTAAAGATTGATTAATTTGAGGGAATATACTGGCTACAACCGTAGACAAAATAATCAAAAATTAACACAGAAAAGGAAAATTCAAGCTCACGAAATTTGTAGGAGGGTGTAAATCAAATCATTTTATATATTACAATTCTTACCAAAAATAAAGTACATATTTATTAAAGACATTTAAGTACAACCTATGTGTACGAATGTTACACTTTTTATTCGCTTTTGACAAGAGAGCAAGATGTTTCAAGCACTTTCGTATGCTAACTTGTAATTATCAAAACAATTAAAAAAATGAGATACCCTTGAAGAGAATAACCATTGCATCATTGCCCCATTAAATACAATACTACAGATAATATGATACACGAAATATCTTCGTCTCATTATCACTTAGTTCGACTCACGGACGGGATGGGGAAGTTATTCCTACGAATTCGTGCCCCACTAAGGGTATACCACTCGGTTCTCTAAATCCTGACCTAAAAAAGCCATTTTCCAGACCCGTTTTTAAACATGGCCTCTAAAATTCATACTCGTAGAAATTATGTTATCATTACTTGACAGGAAGAATACTGAAAAAAAAATCTATTTCGAATTCGCATATTACGCCAATTGAGCTACGCATATTACGCCTAAAAAATCAAAATCATCTTTCTCGTACTCTTTCTTTCTCATTCATTTGGGATTGAAATTACCAATACGTTCATAAACTCCCGTAGTTCCCTCGAAAACTATATCCGATTCCAGACATGAAAAACGACGAAGTCAATACCCGTTCTCAGACCGAAACAACGCAAATACCATGCCCACATACCTATATACCTTAGAGGGAGTAACCTTCCCCACACACATCCCCCGTGGTTACTCCCCTCCCTCCGTGAGTAGTCTAAACATGAATGAAAGGAATAAGCCAGGGTATAATATATCATTATTGGCTCTTTTGCAAATAAAATTATATATACTTAAACCGTAATGAAGGCACTATTTACATCAAACGTACGCGTAACGCAGTCCTAAAATTGATTGAGTAAACCAAGTGGAATAAAGTACACTTGTTGGCTTTCTAAAGTAGTGCCACGTACTGAATGTAAGTTCGTCTAAATGGCTGAATGCTAACCTCGACTCAGGGATCGTTTGTTAGGAAACTATCTTTCCCTTTCATTATCATTGCTATCGACACTAGCATCAATAATGATAATAAAAAAAGTGACTGATATAATGTGATTGACAAAACTACGAGTCTGAAAATTTCTGAATTACACAAAAACAGCAAAGAAGCACACACACTACATGTATCCAGCTCCGCGGTATGGCCAGTACCTTACGGATACGCACAGCCATTTCAGCCATATAAGTGGTTTTGGATACCTCTGACAGTGTTTAAATAAGTAAAACTTGAGTTAAAGGAATATTAATATAGAACTTCATCGACAAAAAGAATTCAGCACCGAAGCACACACTACCAACTGCGTGGTACGGCTTGTACCGTACGCATGCGCACAACTATAATATATCACCCGGACAATGGAAGTCATGGAGAGCTGTTTCACCCTTTGTCGAGACTTTGAATGCTTCGCACCAGAACTTAGAGTCCTCGTTAACTGGGATCTTCCAGATCTTCAACAGTAACGTCTTCTGATTTATTATGGAGTTGTAATTGACTGCCGGACGATTCCCAAACCATGTTAACTTTAGCGGATGATTTTGGTCTCAGTGAACCCCTTTTTTGACAATAAACGAGGGCTGAAACAAGAGTTATCAGCAATATGAAAACTGCAGTGGCTATCAAGACAACGTACAAAGTTTTAAGGCGTCTGTTCCCACTATCCGAATCCTCCGTTTTGTGGGGACTGCCATCTACTTTTACAATGATAGAGAAGACTTGAAACTGTCTTACGCCGGTGCTGCGTGATGCTAGTGTGGCCGTCACGTTTACTTGCGTGACGGTTTTTGTAGCGGCATGAGATTGAGACCTCAGGATCAACAGGCAAGAAGTGGACTGCATTGTCTTGAGAAAAACGTGAGATGGCTCAACATTTCCATCCGACAAGGATTGATTCGTGAGCACCTGTTGACCAAAAAATAACAATAAAAAAAGGAACGCGTGACGCGTGACGCGGCATTTGCATGGTGGTTAGAGACTATGTCATGTGGGTATAAAAAGTGACAAATAATTGTTTTGGGAGATTTTGCTATGGGAACAGTTATTGTTTTAGAAAATGTATTATGTTAATAGTTACGAGTTCCTCGAGGGACTGAATTTACGCTTTACTAAGTAGCAAAACTCAGTGAAAGATACTTCTGTTAATTTCCGGCCGCCATGTTGGTGTCCATCCGAATGAGCACCAACAGGGCGTTTTCATACAAAGCTCTACAAATTTAGGTAAATCATTTCACCGAATATCTTGAATATGAAAACTTGTAATGACTACTGAATCTTGGCGAGGATCTTTGCATATTCACATCCTTCTATTTCCCTTTGATTGAAGGTTTTTTTGTTTAGCTTTTTCTTTTTCTTCAATTATTTTTGATTGCGTCATCAGAGAAAACCAGCAATTAGTCCAACAGAGTTACTAATTCTTTACCTACGGCAGGGTAGGCTCGATTTCCGCCTCTTTCTCTCTCTCGTGTTATTTCAGAGCCGGTTAATTTTGTACGGAGCAAAAATTGCTTACGTGAAATGTGAAGGTGTCGTCCAACGCTAAATTCTGTACCGTGAAATTGACCTCTAGTCTTCCCCCATCCGTCAGAGAGAAACGATCTTTGGTTACAGAAGCTTCTAAAGGCAAATGAGGAAAGGCTCGTACCACAGACACTTGGATAGAAAATAATGCCACCTTTCTGAGATTTACATTGCTTAATTGTGAGACAGCGTTGACCGTCAAGTTTAGCACCTCATTGACTTCACCACGTGACTTGATGACCACGTGACACACAGCACTGGCATTCGTTGGCAGAATGAGGCTTAAAGGCATAACGTAACTGATGAGAGCAGGCGTTTTTGTCACTTCAAATAAGAAGGAACCATTAGAGCCGAGGTTGAGTAGTGTAAAAGGGATCTTGATGGTGTTCCCAGGATAAAGGGACACAGCTGTGTTGCTTGGTTTGGCGCTGAGGGACACAATATCAGGAACAAGGCTGACAGAACAAGTGCCCATGTTACCAACGAGGTCAAGACCGACGAAAAGCACACTGGGATGACAACAGTTAGATGTGAAAGAAGCTGTGATGAATGTGTTTACTGCACCCAGATTAAAAGCATCGACTAAAACAATAATAAATACACAAGAAAATAAGTGTCGTTCGTCTGCTAAGCATAAGAAATTTTACACCTTCTCATCTCAGAGTCTGTGAGACAATCATTCAACAACTGTCAAAAGCACTATTAAACACACTAATTGAGCGTAAATAGTGACGTAATTAATCGTCAAAGTCACAGAGTGTACTAAGGGTGTATAAACGTCACCTACCTTGCAGAGTTCCATTGTCGTTGCCTTGTGTTGCTATCGACGCTAGACCTTCTCCAGTATCGATGAAAACGACACGTGCATGCCACGTGTTCAACATGCACTTTGATCTGTCATGTGTATTGTTGCAAGATCTAGTTTGGTTAATTACTGTACATGATGGAGGAGAAAGATCTGGGTTCTGCAAGGTTTAATTAAATTGAATGTTTTCAGAAGATAGTTTTAAAATTAAAGAGTTGATAAAACAAACTGGCCACCATAGAAAGATTAAGCTCACTAGTAACCATGGCAATGGACCATTACTTTCGTTTGGTAATAGGGACTTTAAGATCTGACAACGCGGTGGCAACGATAACGTCAAAAAAAACAATAGGTTTGGTGGGCAAAACAATAACTTTGCACTCCAGGCATCACACTTTTTTAGTTTACCATTCGTGCAGGTCGACGACGTGACATTGCCTAATTACACGTTTTATAGAGGACGTAAACAGTCGAAGACGAATTTTTATTTCTCTTTCTGAACTTGGATATTGTCCCTAGGAATTCAGCTCCAGGAGGGTTGTCCTACATTAAAGTAAGTGCATGGGTAGGAATTATCGCGAGAAAGGCTAAAAGAACGCAAATTCACTTTTCAAAACAATGTTTTTGCTGCCATCACTTCCTTGGGTCTTAAAGTCCCTAAAGAAATATGTTTGACGAACTAATGAACACCAAAAAAGCAACAAATCAATTGAACAAAGTTCAAGTTAGTTGATAGTATATGACTGTTTTATATAGTACTACATGAGAAATTTCTCCAATTTGATTGGCTTGGAGCAGTGGTATTTCAGCTTAATTTGAAATACCTACATGTGGAAATTACAAACCTTTTGCGGGTAGCAGTATAAACAAATAATAGCATGATTTGTACGTGATATTTGGCATAAGTTCCAATTGTTATATTTCAAAATTGTCTCAAATTTCACTCGCCTAACGGCTTGTGAAATTACGTATAGCAATGTTGAAATATCACTCGTGGTATTTATGTCAAATAGCACTACAAATCATGCTATTACCTATACAAATTGCAGCCAAATCGAAGAAATTTTAGATCAAAAGGTTACACAGCTTACTCCAGAAAGGCGGCAAAAGTAGTTATTCTTTTGTCTTTATGATAATTGGCCCTTAATACATCGTTGTAAGGTAAAGCTGGTTTGAATT